CAGAGATGTTTAAACACATACAAAGGTGCTCAAATAGAAATCAGTGTTGGTTGGGATGTGTGAAATAACAACACAACCATGAGTGTGATGGCTTATAAGATACTCAAACACTGGCCAGTGGTTAATGATACCATGAGACAGGATTTCAAATACCAGATTGTGTGTATTTGATTGGGCACTGCAGCACCTTGCCGGACAGTGCCGCATTACATCGCAGCAAAAGTTCAACTTTATTCCTGGATGACCCTTTGTTTTTTTGCTCTTGCCCTCTGCATTGGCACCTTCGCTGTATCAATTGAGAATCGAGTGGCCGCATTCAGATGAAAGAAGAGGTTGTGTTTTTACCCAGGGCTGTTTTTTTTTTTGTTGTTTTGTTTTTCTCAGTGCTGAACGAGACCTAACTCCAAGTTCAAGCAAACTGACTGATTGATCCACCTCCTGTTGGGAGGCCGGTTTGAAACAGAAGTTTAGGTGCAGGTATGAAAAAACCAAAAAAACAAAAAATGAATGTAAAATGACCCCTGTGTATATTACCCTACAGGAATCAAAGAGAAACAGAAAAACCAGGTTTCAGCCTCAAGATTGACTGGTGTATGACTGCATTTGGGGCATGAAGGTGGGCGGCTTGCATACCCTAAATAATAAATATTAAAAAAGTCATTACTCGTGAAGGAATGAGCACACAGTAAAAACTTCGCTCACAGCCCAGATCTTATGTTGATGTTCCTCCAAGCTCCAATTATTTACATTTGGGAAGTTCTTCTGATTCTTCTGAACCTCCTCCAACATGATTCAGTCTAGGCCGTTGTCGCATGCCATCCCACTCTGTCTTAAAACCTTTGCTGTGCCTGCCTCCTCTCGAGTTTCCTGTGAAGCCAAAATGTCCAAAAACGATTCAAAATTCATTCAGCCTACTGACATTTTCTCACCTTTCCTTTTGCCTCTGGAGGTGCCATAAAGATCTGATCATATTTTTCCTCCTCAGCTGGTGTCTCAGGTCTTAAAGTGTTTCCGTGTCCCTCTCAGACGAGCGACAATATATTTACATTTCATTGCCCTTTTTTGCATCAGTGACAGCAGTGGCATGGGAGAATTTAGCTCATATTTTATTAAACCAATCTGCAGCTATCGCAGTTGACTCAGAAACTTGGCGGGTCGTCTTGAAATGGGTACCTTTTAATTCATTATTTACAATTTCCCAGTGACACACACAGACATGCACACTCACACACACAGATATGACTGTCGTACTGTGTGTGTGATGCTTCTGAAATCTAACAAGCCGAGCCAGAGGATGCACCCAGGCATTGTGTCAGTCTCCCTCTCTCTCTCATTCTCTCTCTCTCTCTGTGTGTGTGTGTGTGTGGGGGGTGTATTTTTAATTTGAATCCCCTGGTTCACATTCAATCCATATTTTTCTTTTATTTGGTCACTAATGAGGTTCCTATCTCAGTTCAAAGAAAAGCAAATTCTTTCAAGTATCATTGCAACTTTGGGGCTTGTTTATCAGCATCATTATTAAGTCATTGGGAAAAGGAACAGTTTATGTTGCATCATTTATTGCATTAGCCTCCAAACAATATTTGGCTGCCGGACTGGCGGACAGGTTATGTCTCCAGCACCTCTGACTCCTCGGTCTGATTGACTGTGAAATGACCTCTTTAGTTGTAATGTGGTAAAGTGAAACATAATATCTCTATAGCAGCCTAAGCTCAATGACTCATGCAGTATTAGCTTTGCTGCTTCCGCTCTCAGCATGCAGGGGCAGTTGTAGTTGTTTTCACATGCCCATTATGCATGCTTGTTGATGCCTCCAGACATGGTTATTTTTTTCCTCCTTCATTTTCAGCCGAGATTCGACTGATGTTGCGCTGAATTGCGTGAGCCAACTTTGACCCTTGATGTTTCTTTGAAGAGGCCTCAAAATAAGCTCTCTGTTTCTCTGCAGGCCACCACCACCATGTATCTCCGCAGCTCCATAATGACCAGTCCAGACTGAAGCCCGTTTACCTGGAGTGTCAGCGTGACACACCCACAGCCCGGGTTGCTTTACATTTAAAGCTTTTTCTCCCTTTTGTGCGTGCCAGCATTCATTCTTGAATAGCACTGCAGCATTGCTGACAAAATAGTTACCTACCTCACCCCAGAATCCCTTCACACACACACACACACACACACACACACACACACACACACACACACACACACACACACACACACACACACACACACACACTCGCACTCGCTTCCTTTCTCTTTATAGATTCAGAGCCAGTCTTCTCTGGCTCCTTTGTTCCCCACTCCAGGCTGGGCTCAGATCCTCTCTGCTCTCTGTAAGCCCGCTCCGCTCTGTCATCAGGATTACAGGCTGTGCTGTAGCAGATTAATGACTGACAACTCTACACTCCTCTCAGCATTGCGCGGCACACACAGAGCTACTAGGAGGGAGCATGTGCCTGGTTGTGAGGGAGAGAGGAACAACTGCGGGGGAGATAATGCATTGTGTTGGTCTGAGAACAATATGTTAGCTGTGCGACTGTGTATATGTGTGTGAAGTGGAATTGTGTGGTGCCGTGTGTGACAGGGTTTGTGTGTGAAATGTATTGCTTATTTTGAAGCGGAGGTGCGTGCGGCAAAAGCTTTTCAACTTCTACACCTCAGTGCAGCACAGCGGGACGGAGAGTTAAGTCGGTGAACATGGGGCCTCTGTTGAACAAGCTTAGGTTGATGTGTTTGTGTGTGTGTGTGCTCATGTGTACATATGCATGCTTGTGTACTCATGTCTTGAGAGCCCACGCGGCAAGAAAAAGTGGCAGTTCCAAGTCCAGCACATGAGGGACTGTGGACCCCTGACTGCCTGACAGGGACCACAAAACATCTATTCCCTCCAATGACACTTCCCAACAAAAACAAAACAGCTTCTAACTGCTTTGTTTGGGGCAATGTGAAAGCTGGCAGTAGTTATACAAATCCAAACAAGCAGGCAGACAAACTGAGAGCTAACACTTTCCGAAGTTTGGGATAAATTAGGCCACGATCTCACACCACCTCAGAGCCTCATAGAAGCAGCTTATGTGTGTCATGAATTACTAAGTAGTAATATTTGGGGCTTCTCACAGCCATCAAACAGCTGAGGCTTAATTTCCTGAGACTTGCCCTGGAGTGTCCAGGAAAGTGGGCTGTCTGAGCCGCCATCTGAGGACTGAGGAGCTGCTGTTACTTGCATTTCGGTTGTGACATCCTTGAAATGCATAAAATGTTTTTTGTCATTTTGTTAGAAGTCATTTACCTCTCCTTGTCTCCTACAGCAAATAACATCTAATGATGACAAGTACATTTACATTTAGTTCATTTTTGAGGTACATGTTTTTCTCAACTACATTTATCACAATATTTAACCATATGTGAGTTATGCTGTAGCTATATAGCCAAAGTTGGCATTAGCAGCTGTCTATTTACCAGTCTTGCCAACAGCTTCAGCCATCGTTGTGTTTACAATACAAGAGGTTATAATATGTCCTGCGAGTAGCTACTTCTTCAGGGCAGACTGGACGCTACAGTGACTCGGTATCAGAAAGCGACAAAATGGGAGCTAGCTGGTTAGCATGCTAACTTCAGTAGAAGAAAAGAAGTGATATAAATGGAAGCAAAACAAGAATCAACATTGGCATTACTTTTCAAGGAATGAAGTTTGATACTGTACTCACGTTTTTTCTAGACTGGTAAGTAAACAGCTGCTAATGCTAATGCTGGCTATGTAGCAATTGCAAAACTTACAAATAGCTTGTTTTAATATACATATGATAAACTTATAAAATATAATGCATTGTTAAAGATCAACCCAGCCGTTCCCAACCATTTTGGTTTGTCGGTGTCTAGTTGGAGACCCCTCGTCAGGTCACAGATGTTAATGAGTTGTTCGCAGCTCCACCAAAGAGACATTTCCTGTTCATGTAACAAGCTAATAATGTATTTCTCTGCAGAACAAATACTTTTAATATCTTAAGAACTGATAATAGTCCTGTACTTTAACTTTAGTGGGTTAAATGTAGGAGTACTTTCATGTATTGGTATGTTTACCACAGTAAAGAATCTGATGATGAGGATTCTTTCACCACTGATAATGTCTTGAAACATGAAAACACACACCAGCCAGCTGTGGTAAAATACTTTTATAGAGCAGTAATCCATATCTGAAATATAGCATCCAAGCAGAATAGCTCTGATATGTACAGAACTCAATTCACCCCATTTTCTCATTTTATATTTGCTTTTTATGTAAATGTGTCAGTTCATGTGTTCATGTATGTGTTCATGTGTGTGCTGTATGTGCATGTGGACACGTATAGCAGTTTGTCATCAATTACAGTATATTAAAAGTTTTAAATACAGGTCATAATAATTCTTTTTAAATGTCTCTGGATATAAAAGCTGGTGTTCTGACCCATTAATGAAGTCCATTAATGAAGATGAATCCTTCCACTCTGTCTTTTTGCCTAGAAACTCTATTCATTTAATCTTTTATAAATATGCTCTATCCTCTCTGCTGTATTGCCTGTTGTACTGTGCCCCTTGCCCCCGTTCCACCCTCTATATATTCTCTTTATATCTCCTAATTGCTTCCTAACTGTGACTCATATTGTGGACTGAACTTTTGCTTTTATTTGACTTCAGCACTTTTACTTCCCTGCACCAGTATCAAACCTGTAAGTGCTGAAGAGGCATTTTAAGAGCAGTAACAACATGTACGCCCCAGTCAAACCATTCTCATCAACTCCAACAGCAACAGCTAAAACCATAACCTCTGTAGCTCTTTCTCCTCCCACAGCTTTGTGTTTGAATTTTAATTCTCCAAGTTCATTCCACACTCATTTTGCAATCAAACCACCGTAGTTAATCATTTGTAGTTTTTTTTTTTTTTTTTTTTTTTTTTTTTTTTTAAAGAAGGGTATGCAGTGCATTACAGTATCAAAATGTCTCTTGCTTCTTCCTCTGGACGCTCAGAGGAACCAGAAGCATTTCTTCCTGTTCTTCTTGTTGGTGGCAGGCGGCCGCACCGCTTGAGGGGAGTCTTGTTGGTGGGGTGTGGTGGCCTGGGGAGTGGAGGGCTGCGGTGAGCCCTCCGGAGGGTCGCCCACCTTCCATGTGCGTACCACCTGCCCTTCCTGCAGACGAAAGTCATGCTCCACACTGGAGAGAGAAAAAGGAAAGAGAGGAACAGTGCAGTAATGTGTTACTTCAACCTGCAACAATTGATTTTTTTGATTTCCCTGAGGGAAATATGTGTCTCTTTAGCTGCTAAATGCTCCACCATGTTCACCAGCTAGTCTCTAACTTGTTGTTTGGTGCTGAGCAAGTCGCATACAGTGTGTCTACAGAGATTATTTGCTGAAAACAGCTACAAGACGAGAGTGGTGAGAGTGAACAGTAACGCTGCAGGTCGGACAACTGAACAATGAGCTGAAAGACGCTCTAAAGCTCTGTGAAGCTGAGAGTGCTGAGAAGGCCTGCAGATTCAGGTGATCATTTTCTGTAGGTTTGTGACTATGAGCGGCCCCTTTCACATTCTCACACTGTTTTCACATTATTATTTGATATATTATAAAATAGTGATTATAGCCACTGGTACATGCACGGTATGCAGGATACGATCAAGAACTAATGTGAAAAGCAGTGAAGACTCCCACATGTGCCACTTCCTAGTAGACAATAATGAAGCCGTTGACAAAGTGAATCAAGTGCAAAAATGCTGAGTGTCACAGAAATGTTGCAGCACCAGGAGGGATCCCAGGACTGCAGCTGACACACACACCAAACGAAAAGTCAGCAAGGTGCATCGTCGGTCACATGACAGTTTAGCTCAGGGGGCTTCACTGGCTTCACTTCCGAAATGAGATGTGAACTCCAATGCACCCCTGCAGAAGCTATAGGTAAAGGTAAGCAATAATAAATGAATGCATCTGCAGTAAAAGGAATAAGGACAATATTTGCTTGCTGAATTACTTTTGTCAGCAGTTGCATGTTGGATAAGCTTTTCCCCCCGTGAACTGATTCTTTTTCCCCCTCTTTTCTTTTTTTATTCATTTCACTTTGCTGCTATTCTTGCTTATTATGCAGTGGCCTAGTTAGCTGGTGTTTCTCATCACAGCACAGATGCTGGAAATAAAGAGGACTCCCTCGGTTGACGATATGAGGAGAGAAGTGCTGCAGAGGAAGCAAGGAGGACTGAGCTCAGCAGCAGCAGCAGCGGGGCCTGGAGTTTTCAGGTGAGAAGAATAAGGACTCTCACATTCATATCCATCTGGCTTCATAACTCCCACTCCCTCAGTCACTCAACCACTTCACTCTGGATGCCCACTGGTGTTCTAATGCACAAAAAAAACAAATGAAACATCAAACTCCAGACAGGAACACAGTGCAGGCAATGGGTGCGGACAGAGTAAACAGTAAAAAAGTGAGTGGGTACAAAGAGCAGTGGAGAGGATTTCTTCTCTCCACAATATTTACAGCAGGTAGGAAAAAAGCCACTTCAACTAAACCTCTTTGTGGCAGCTGGGACTGCTTCACAGCTTGAAACAAACCTCCAAAGCTGGGTAAAATGAGGTGCTAGTCGATACAAAAGTAAGTTGATGGAGTCTGTCTCTGCCGTTCTACCATCCTTAAATGAATAGAGTAAATAAAGTGCTCCGTTCCTCCATTTTCACAGCCTCTTTATTTGTGCCACCATACAGCTCAGTTCCTTATAGAGTTCCCCAGTGACTCTTGCCTTGCGTCTGCTGTGTTCCCGCTTGGTGAAAATGAATAGCCCCGGTCCACAGCTCTGCGTGATCAAGGCACACTGGCGCTGTAGGGAGCTGTCCACCCTCAACCTTAATTATCTGCACACTGAGCCCACAAACTGTGGCAGGCAGGAAGCTGTGAACCTAACACACTTCTTCCCACTGCTCCTGTTCAGTCCTATGCTCATATTTTTTGGCTTAAAGGCTACACCCCACCTCAGGCTCTGCCTCTGGGCAAATTAGGTGTGTTTTACAGATGATGGGTGGCCATATTTCAGATGTAGTGTCACAGTGCTACAATATATAGTTCTCAAACTTGGAGCGTGGGATGATCATGCAAGTGTGTTGACCTGAAAAGTTGCAAGCTCAGTGTGTCAGCGCTAGTGTAGGTAAAGCAGAAAAAAAGAAGTGTTTTGCACAGCTGTGTGTTTACTTTATGTTCTGTAACAAAAATCACACGGCCTTGGGAAACTTTAAAGTCCCCTGCAGTTAAAAATGTGTTTTGCTTGTTGTTATTTCACTTGGATGTTTTACCTTCAGTGACTGATGTACAGTACAGTGCGAGAGTTTTGGACAGATGTTAGGTGTTTAGATTCTTATCATACAACACCATCAGCGAGGCGTCAGATTAAATTCATTCAGCAGCAGGACAACGAGCCAAAAACAGTCTGAGAGAATTATCTTCAGACACAAGAAGAACAAGGAGTCCTGCAGCAGATGTTCTGGCCTCCAGAGTCCTGATCTCAACATTATCTAGTCAGTGTGGGATCACATGAAGAGACAGAGGACACTGAGACAGTCAAAATCCACAGAAGAACTGTGGCAAGTCCTCCAAGATGCAAGAATATACCTGCCAAGTACCTTGAAAAACTGCGCACAAATTTGTCAAGGAGAACTGGTGGTCTCTTCTAACTTTCGGTCCCCACTGTAGATTTATCAACACCACCATGAAGACAATACCCTTTGGAGTATATCCCAAAATATTGAGGTGACTCATTAACCAAGCTTAAAGCGGACAATCTAAAACTAAGGGCTATAAAGAAATGGACACGTATGCCTGTATACATTACAAAGACTGTGTAGTTGGGAGCCTAAGATAAACAACTGAATAATACAGAAACATAAGATGAAAGATAAATGATAAGAAATCATTGATAGGGAAAAGAGGCAAGTCTAGAAGATAGACTTTATATAGCACTTTTCAAACAAACGTGCTGCCCAAAGCGCTTCACATACCAAGACAAAACAATAAAAAATTAAAGTCAATAAAACAGTATAAGATAAAATAAACACAAGTGTTAAAAATGGATATAAAAATAAATCAAAGACTAAGGTCTTAACATTAGAGGTTAAAAGCCAGATGAAAAAGATAGGTCTTTAGTTTCCTTTTAAAAAATACTGATTGAGCTTCTAATTAGCACTGTGCAGGACGTGTATCTATAAGGCTGTATCTGACATTTGCATTGAACTTGTCCTGAGAAAGACCAAGTGTGGCCGAAACCTCAGTTATACGATAAAATCACTGGAGCTTAGTGTGCAGTCATCTGCTCTCCAATATGCAACCACCAGAGGTGTGGTATGAAAACTGGAAACCTCCAGTTCGAATGCACTGAGAGTGGACTCTTTAATGAAGGAGGACACATCTGGCATCAAGTAGTTAAACTTTGGAAATGAAGAATATTTGCACACATCCATGGGAGGAGGAGTAAATATGATTTTAAAAATCAAAGAGCCATATCAGATGCAAATTACCCTTCAAAGAAGAGTGTTTAATGTGTCCTTTTCTTTTGCCTTTACACACATCTAATTGTATGATCCTCTAAGTCCTGGTGGTTGAAACAATTATAACCTCAGAGTCTCAGTGGGAGGATCAAAGTGACTCCAAAGTCAACAACACATCAGTGAGAAAAGTTAATATTTCTTGCTGTAAAACTAGTGTACACGTCAGTACACTATCCATTCCCACTGTGTGACCTTACTTTGAACACGTTATTCCATCCTTAGAGATTTGCTGTATAAATCTCTTCTTTTTTTAATCATTCAGTTTGGGACACAGTGACCTTACCCAAGAGCAGTGCATCTCTAGAGGGGATTGACTCAGCAGATTTGTAGTTACCACATCATTTGCCTGCAATTTAAAAAAGATTATTTACAACTCGAGAGTGATATTTAAAATGTTATTAACAATATTACTAACACTAGAAACTCTCATATGACTGTGTGTGGTGCTGTAGCTTTAACTGCAGAGTGCTGGTGAGCAGGATCCTCGCCTTCTGTTTCACTCTCTGTAAATGAGGATGTTAAGTGCAGTCAGATTGGATACAGGCTAAAAATCTGACAGCCTGAAAACAATATTTTAAAATAATATAAGCACAGAGGTTGAGCAGGTCTTCATCGCTTTCTCATCCTTCCATCTATAAAACATTCATACAACAGCATCAGCAGGAGATCATCATTTCTCCTCTATCTCTCCTCCTCTGTGCTTTCGCTCAGTGGCGGAGGAGAGACTTTGAACAGAAGTGCAAAGGCAATCAGCTCGAAAGATCTTTACAATTTTCTCTCCTATGGGCTGAATATCCTTAAAAGAAAAAAAAAAGAGAACATTTCATTTCAGGAGGAATCACACAAGCAGTCAATCTCTGTAGAGAGTGGTGTTCATCTGTGATGAGGTACCACACCCACAAATACTTGTATATCTCAACACACAATAGAAAAGATAGATGTGCACGCACGTACATACACACTCCACCATCTACTGAAACCTCCAAACCCTTCGACATCAACACACACATACAACAACTTCCCTATTAAGGAGGACAGGCTGTACCCCGAGTTATTACACTCTCCTCGGACTATTATTCTGAGATGGTCCCACCAGCTGCTTGGCTGTCACACAGCATCCCAAACTGTGGTCTGGCTTTAAAGATCTGTCTTTGATATCTGCATTAACATTCAGATTGTGCTGATTTGAGAATGAGTGCGATGTAAACAGTGTGTGTGTGTGTGTGTGTGTGTGTGTCATAAAGTCCATCTCTGCATTGTTTGATTCTTGCACAAGATGGTAATTTATCCAGCCGGGCGTGATTTTGTTTAGCTCATCCCTTTCAATAAACTCGGCAGCAGTCTGATACGGAACACTTTAGAATATTAAAAATAAAAGATCTTCCTCAAATGCAGATGCACACACTCCCTCAGTGTTGTTTTGTATGTCTGTCTCCATTTGAACTATATTATACGTATAGCATTTTCACCGTATGTGTGATTCAACCTGAATTCTATTAATTAGCAATAGGTGTAGCCACAGTGCAATTCTCTTGAAAACAAAAAAAACAAAAAAACAAACATATACTGCCTTAAAATATAGTAAAAGTATAGGTGTGGGGCAGAGGGGTTGTATAGCATTGATCAATA